TGGTTTGGCCTTACTACTAAAAACGATCGGACGCTACTAGGGGCTCCTAGCCTTACTACTAGAAGCAATTGGACGCTACTAGGGGCTCCTAGCCTTACTACTAGGAGCGATCGGACGCTACTAGGGGCAAGCAAATGCTAGGTTGTGAGTGCACACAGTTCAACAACATGTAGCATGCAGGCTCTATGCCCCCTTTTGGGGTTGAAAAGGAAGAGCCGGCTGACGAAAAGCGTCTGCCATACTTGAGTTTGGGGGGCCTCCCTTCTCGACCAAAGAGAGCGGCGTCTGGCCCTTTTGGTGCAGAGAGTTCGGAACATGTGACAGAACCTGTCCAGGGGTCTCAACAAGCGAGGCCCAGAAGAGAAGCTCCAACTAGCTCAAGTCATGGCCCTTTCCACGCTGAACCGGACGAAGTTTTGGGTCGTACTACTACGTCTTCTCAAGGCAAAACCCGACCTCCCCGCAGCCTCTCTGGCATCTTCGGAAGCGAACCAGCTGAAGAGAGCAGTGTGGAGCCTGAGTCTGACTCGAGCGAGGATGAGCAGGCAAATTTCCGAGGAACTTCGCAAACTGTTCACAGCCTTGGGTGGCATAGCTTGTTGGATCTGAAAAAGGCCACTTTTTGGAAAGGGAACATGGACTCCGCTCCTACCAAAAAGAAACGTCGATATAACAACAGCAATCGGCAGGCGCAAGCTGCCTATGCTCGGAAAAACACTGAAGGTGCATTCCAAAGAAATGGAGTTGATCCTCAAAGACTCAAGAAGTTGTTTGAACTTCCATCCTGCCAATGCCCTTTGTTTGTGCATCAACGCATTTTTGTTAATTTTGGGGTTCGTGTAGACCATCAACCGCCCAGGAAGGTAGGCCCACCTGTCTCGAGGAAAATCCTGCTCAGGTGGGAACAGCGTTTGTTACAAGCAGTTTGCCAACTCAAAGGAATTGCCTGGCTTCTTGAAATCCTTCTGGGGTATGGCAAAGCAAGATCAAGGCTCCTTGGCCCTCTGTTCAAACATTGGTAGGCAAGCTTTCCTATGCGCACCAAAAAAATAGTGCCAACTGGGGTGCAGTTGACCCCTCTTCCGGAGGTCTTGAACATGTTATGACTCATGTTATGGTGTATATAAATGGCACCCAAAGAAGACTTCCAGGTACAGCTGTCGCTTGCAACTACTTCAGCCGGTCAGAAAGAGTTCAAGCTTTTGGATTCGACCATTGGTTTCAAGTGCATGGCATCTTTGCTGGGCGTCGGAACTGGGCGTCTTCGGAAAGGGTGCAATCTTGTGCCTGATATGCGGCACGGGCGACGGGAACCAACCAACAAACCAGGGTCATGGAGCGTAGACGGTTTCCTGCGCATGGCCTATGATTCGACAGCCGAAACACTTCCAGACAAGTTTCTCTCCAAAGATCAAACCTTCTTTGTTTGTGTTTTCTTGTTTTTCCACCTATCTAAAGATAACCATGTCCTATGTTCACAACTCTTCCTTTTTGTTTCTGCATCTTGTTCCACTTCGCTCTGCAGGTTCATTCGGCGTGGCCGGGCATCCCGACAAAAGACTGATCTGGACAGTGATGGGCCTAGCGATTGGGAAGAGATAGCCTCTGATATCGAGAACACAGATGAGATCAGGGATTGGATGTCTCAAACAGCGGAACAAAGCCCTTTCATGCCAAAGCAGGTGCTTGTTCGGAAATATCTCCCACCTGGGACTGTGACAAGCCTCTACGAAGAGTACAAATCCACACAGCAAATGCTTGGTGGGGACTATGTCTCGTATCTAGGAAGGATTGCGCTGAATGTGTTTCATATTGTTTCATGTTTTTAGGTCATTGATGGGTTGCCTCAGGGTTTATGGAAAAGGGATATTATGTTGGTTCAATTACCAAGACCGCCTTGGTTGGCCCAAAGGTACACAACATTCAACGCGATCTATACTTCAAGATGGAAGGAGATTCTCCGTTTTCGAGCACCATCAGAGTTCAGCACATGCGAGGTGTGCTATTCCTTCAAACGCCAGCTTCAAGACAAGGCCTTGAGTTTGGAACAGAAGCTAGGTTGCCTACAGGGCTACCGGAAGCACCTCCATGACCAGTACTGCGACAGAACTTGTATTTGGACACTGCAATCGCAAGGCAGTGATCCCCAATCAGGGATACTTCTCATATGCACGGACGGCCTTGACCAAGCTAAATTTGCTCTGCCAAGGCACCCTGATCTTAGGGTCAACGCTGGATTGACCCTTCTATATGCTGGGAAAAGCAATGATTTTCTAGTTGATATTGTTGCCATGTCCATGGTTTCCGTGCCCCACACCCATGTCTGTCATTGCGCCTCTCCATCCAAGGGCGAAGCACCAACGCCCACGCCTGAAGGTTCATGGGTGCTGGGCGTATGGATATGTGGTGAACGCATTCATTCTGGACGAACCAAGCAAACACGACTCGTCAGCGATAATCGAAATGATCGCGAGAACAGTGGAAGATGTTCCTAGACCTTGATCTTATATATTTATGATGTTAGCAACGTTTTCCTAGCATATGATTTTTTTCCAAAAAACACACTGACATTCCACTAGAACCGCTCTCGGTCTCAGGTGATGAGAATCTGCACCGAGGAGGGTCGGCGCCGACCGTCCGCGCTGTTAATCAGCGCTCCTTGTCTCATTTGGGTGGTTTTGATTCAATTGCTTTTTCTGTTGAAATAAAATGAAACAATCATGAAACCCGCCAGTCAAGGCGGACAACACCGTGAGAGAATGCCAAAACCAGTTTTTGATGACCTACTGCAACCAGATGGTGGGGCAACATCGGTTCAAAACAGCAGCACTGTGCTTCCTCCGCAAATCTCACACCCACTGTCGAATAGGTAGCTTGTCCTTCCACCACATACTATATTTTGATGATTTGCACCACCTGTTTGTTTTGCGATTGTTTTGATTGGTTGGACCTCCTACTTCACAAAACCTGTATCTAAGACCAATTGTGGGGAATCATCAGCCGGCGTGTGGGCCTTGAAAGCGATCTCCTGGATCCATGCGATGTCATCGAGGCGATTTCCTCAGAACTGACAAAGCCAAGCATCAGAGATTGGGTCGGGCATCATACACGCATAAGCGTGAAAAAGCTAGACTCCACTCGCAGCTGGCGTTCACATCTGCCGTCAGTTGGCGTGAAGCTCGAGGGGGGGCTGTTGAAAGACTCCACCGGGAACCATTTGTTTTGAGCGTGCAACGTCGAGGTACACAAAGTGTCCAAACATGGCCATTCAATCACAAACAAGTTTTGACATAATAGAAACATGTGCACAGCTCAATCCTGAGAGACCCAACACGCTTGCTGATCCCTGCAGATTTGCCCGCTGCCTTAGCTGATGTGGTGGACAATGCCAACTTCCGCGGAGTTACATCGCCCCATGACGTCGTGGTTCTGATCAAGAAGTTCATCTGTGACAAAGAGCTGTCGCAGCCCCCTTTGCTTGCAATGAGCTATTCTCGAAGTGAACGGTTTGCTTTGGTCCCTGAGGGGAAGAACCTTGTCTAATTGTGGTGCTTGAGCTGGATGACCCCAAAACAACTAAATTGGACGATACCTGCAACACTCTGCAATATATGGATGTAGTGTGTGCTCTTAAACAAACAGCACAACCCAAGTCTGACAATGAAATCTTTCTTGGTAGGTTTCAAGATGGGTGGATTCAAGGGACATGAAACAATCCAAGGTGGCCAAACAGTCACACTGAAGCATGGGGATCGAACATGCGAGCCTTAGCTGATGCAGTCCACTACTACTATGGCCACCGGTACGACCGTGCTACCCAGTACTTGCAGCAACTGGCAAACAATGAGCTGTGGGAAAAATCTGAGCTTCCAGGCTTACCGTTTCAGCAGGCCACTCAGCCTGAAGGGATGGGTGCTCCGCAATACATATTTCACCAGGCAGTGCTTGATGCTCTTGCCCCGTCAGTCCCTTTGAGGGCATTGTTCAGTCGTGAGAGGTAGCTTCCTTCAATCAGGAAGGACATTTAATTTGTAGGTGGGCCTAGCTCTTCGCAACGTTGTGTCTTTTTTGTTGACTTCTAGAGTTCAATTATTCTGAAAACAAAGCTTTGTTTCAGCCACAGTCAATGGCCACCTGCTGCATCAAAGATCGAAGCCCTCAAAGACTCATTGCACAACCGGCCAAACATCTCAGTGGAGCGCATCCTCCATCTGGTTGGAGGAAGCTGTATGCAGGTGGCCCCCAAACATCAAAATCAGGGCACCCTAAAGTCCTAGGTATCCACCCCGGGTTCTGTCACTCTGTGATATCTCAACCACAAAAACAACTGGGGAACTCAAGCACGAAGAATCGGTGCACTCCGGGGTATCGAACACAAAGAATGGGTGCACTCCGGGGTCTCGAACACGAAGGATCGGTGCACTCCGGGGTCTCGAACGCGAAGGATCGGTGCA